CAACCCCCAAGTCCTGAAGATCCCTTCAGCTGATCCCAAATACCCAGAGGGCCCCATGTGACTGCATTAAGGAATCTACCTTAGGTGGACCCCCCACCCAGTAATAGGGACTATAGGGGATAATAGGGATTGTATTAGGGTCCTCTTATATTCCTAGTATCTTACTACTACAGGGTGCGGGGTCCTCCTAAAATCTACTCTACATTATAATAGGGTTTAGGGTTTAGGGTAGGCTCCGTAATGCATAGGAAATACAGGTATCAATCCATAACATAATTAAGGGGCACTGGACTCCCTGGATAGTAGGTGGAAGCTTTTCCCCTTCGCTGGACACCCCTCATTTCATATCATACAGCCTTGAAGTCAAAAGTTAAAAGTCGCAAAGCTCCGATACTCACCCTCAGTAAAGAATCGTAAAGAATCGTAAAGAAAATACAACAAATGCACCATAGCCTATAGAAGTTTTGGACCTTTAAAACATCGATCTGCTTGTCCAGCGTATTCCAATTGGAGGTGGGCAAGCTAAACCGTCACCCTGAACCCCAGGCTGCAGACCCTAAACTCTAGACAACAACCGGGGCACTGCTCAAGACCAGTTCTGCTCTTGTCTGGGGCCTGCAGAGTTTGATTGAGGATGCAGAGTTTGAGGGTACAAGTTTAGATGGGAGATGCAGAGAGCTTCAGCAGTCGAAGACTTGGAGTTTAGGGCTCAGCTTGCAAGTGTAAAGCAAAGGTTCCTGATGCTCAGATTTTGCAGCTGGGGTCCTGGATTTTTGTGACTTATCTTGAGGGTCAGGCATCAGAGAGGTGGGAAAGTCTACAGAACACGAGCGCAAGCTAGAACACGGGCTAGGTGCTGGGAAAATGTGCGGTGCAAGCAAAGTGAGACCCGGACTAAACTTGCAATACATTCCCAGAAGGTCCCTCCTAAACCCCTGATACATCTCCCTATAGGAGCCACCCAACCTTACTCTAGTCCGCAGCTCAGGTAACACAATTCTTAGGTGACAGCGGGGGAGCACTGTGAACCCCCAGAGCCAGGTGTTGGGGACAAAGCACAAGGCTTCTACTCATCTTACTGGTTGTTAGTAGGGACTGAAAGAATACGTTTTATAGGGATTAGATAGGGATGACATTGCCTCATTCCCTACTAACCACCAGTAAACCGTTCAAGTCTCTGAAGCCGGAAAATACATGAGTTCAAGGCGCTAGAACCAACTGACTGTGAGCAGCAACCCTCTGCCCGCCCAAACTCCTGCCTTTCAACACTTAGAAATCACCTTCCTGTCTGCTTGTGCCCAGTTATGCCCAGTTGGAGACTCTGAACCCTAAACCGTAAACCTCCCAAAAAATCACTCAAGGTTCCCATGTTCCTCATACCTCCCAATTTAAGTTTGAGGGTTTACCTGAACCCTACCAAGCCCATCATTTTCTTAAGGATTCATACTACAAAACCAAAGGACGTAACCTGTGAAGGAGGGTTCCTTTGGTCCAGGCAGCTGAAAGCTCTTATTGATCTTGAGATGCTATTGAATTTTTGTAGAAAGCTTCAAACCCAGCCGCAAGCCACCTAAAGTCTGAACCAGAATGACAGAGGTTCAAACTTCGAATTCTAATGAGCCGCCCCAGGACCCTATGCGCTAACCCTGCAAACAATCAAATGCACATGCCAGGAGCCCTAACCAATAACTGCCAACCCTGAAACCCTCACTCTGGAGCCTCGTCTATCCGAGTCCTCCGCAATTTGAAATACTGGGTTGCTGTTAAGGAAAGTTCCTTAACAGCAACCCAGAATATTTTGGTGGTTGGCAAGGCTGGGGTCTAGGTCTTGAGCGGCCCAAAGGGGTTCTCTCAGCACCTAGCCGATTTACGCATTCCCCCTGTCATTTGGGGTCTGGTATTTTTACGTAGGGGTGGCTGTATAACCCCGAGAAAGCCAGGGAAGTCCGGGAAACTGAGACTGCTGAGGCCCCAGTTCAATCTTTGAAAATAGAATTTGTCTACCATCAGGAAACCGAAAACCCTAATGCCCTCCCCTTCCCCCCACCAGGTAGACGACAAAAAGTGCAGGAGGGCATCAAGGTCAAAACTTTGATTTCTGTTCTTGGGAATCGGCTTCCAAACGCTGCGGCCTGCACTACCATGAAAAGCCTGATTGTCAAGTCTAGGTTTCCGGGTCTTTTTACTAGAGCCCCTGTTTGACTTTGGTGTATTGTGTAAGACTACCGGTTCAAGCCTTGCGTTTTTCACGGGTTCCCCTATCAGCCCTCTCCCTGGCTCCTCCTTACTTGGCATCACTTAGCCTGAATTGGCCTTCTGTACCTCTAAATAACCTATTAAGGGGAACCCTGAGTGAATGTTACAAGGGGGCGGTAGCGGAACCTTTGAGGTTAAGGGTCTACCGGAATTTAACTGGTCACAACCGAGCCCTCAACCCTGAACCCCTCTCCAAAAAGGAGAGAAGAATGGCAGACGAGAACCCTTGCCACTTGAAGGCTCAGCTGCAGGGATCAGGATGATTCGTCAGGAATAAAATGGGAAACTACTAGGGAGCTCAGGGCTTTAGATGGCCTGCATGGGATGGAAGAATATGGAGAATAGCCGTATACTACTACTAATACGACTACGATTACTACTACTCCTACTCCTACTCCTACTCCTACTCCTACTCCTACTACGATTAATAATAATGCTACTACGAGGAAAGAAACAAAGGCCTGGAAGTTGATCAAAATCCATTCTAAGTTCAAACCCAGGTTCAACCTGGAAACTCAGAACCCTGAACCTCAAACCCTAAACTCTGAACCCTGATACCTCGCCCCTCCCCACCCCCGGAGCGACCTCATCGCCTCGGGGTTCGCCTCCAGCGGCGCAGCCGTGGAGGCGAGAAAGCTACCGGCCTCTGACACGCAGTTAAGGGCTGAGGGTTTAGGGCTTAGGACTTAGAGCTTAGGGTTTAGGGTTTGAGATTTAGGATTTAAGGTTTAGGGTTTTGGGGTTGAAGGTTTGGGGCTGCTTGCTGTAAGGTCGAGGACCTACGGTGGATACTAAAAATCCTGCACGACCCTAAGTACCTTAGACCTCGGGAAATTATGGAAGTGTGGCATTATAGTATGAAGGCCATGCAGGTTTCCAATATCGCTAGGCCCCAAATAGTGGATTCCATTTAATTTTCCATTATCCCAATAAAACCCCAATATACTATAGTAGTTTCCATTTTCTTTTCCATTATCCCAGTAAAACCCCAATATATACAGGACTTGGGGCTCAGGATGGACCTCTCAGGATTCAAGAACTAGGTTTTAGGGTTTAGGGTTTAGGGTTTCGGGTTTAGGGTTTAGGGAGGATTCAATTGGGCTATGTACTATAGGGATTATAGGGGTATATATCGGGGTTATATTGGGGTTATATAGGGATAATGGAAAAGAAAATGGAAGCTACTATAGGGATTATAGTTCAAGCTTTAGGGAGAGCTGGAGGGTTTTAAATGTAGGCACGTGGGTGCCTCGAGGATTTCGGGTTCAGGGTGCTTTCCTTTGAGGTTCTGGCCGTGTTCTGGGTCGCCTACATATGGCTCGAGGTTCAGGGCTCAAGGACTTGTAGCAGAAGATCCCACGACATTCATGGGTTCCTTCACCACATCCGCGTCTACTAACCCCCTTAAGTTTCCCCTACATCAACCCTTGTCCAAGAGAAAAGGAACCTCATAGATGTTAAAAATTGTCGGAGTGCTTAGGCGACCAATGAGCTTTAATCACATGTCACTTGACACTGAAGCCCGAAAAGCGTACTCATATTTCCGGGTAGCATATACTGTCACCTAGATCTCCGTCCGGATAAAACCATTTCTAGGGTTTACGGTTCAAGGTTTAGGGTTTAGGTTGAAGATCTGATAAGTTGTTGGGCCTTGTGCCGCTTGTGCCCCACAGTGGAATCTGCAATTGACAGCCCTCCCGCATCCCAATCCCAGATGACGTAAAGCCCAAACCATGGGAGCTACATCATCCACCCAGCATGCATCTATCATGGGCTTCCTTACCACCCCCAACGGTAAAACTTGATGAGTATCCTTATATAATACAAGCTCACTTAAAGAGCAGCCCAAAGGGGGTTAGGATTGGGGATTGTTAAGGGACCCCATGGAGGAACAAACTCAACTCCTTGGCAGCAGGAACTCAAGGAATCGAGTCCCCCTCGTGCTTGAAAACTTCCTTCTTAACTGATCCTTGCATTCTCTTTCAAGGGTTCCTCCCCCCCAGCTCTAGATCCTAATTCCAAATCCTAAGAAGTTGCAGGACCTACAACCTAAACCCTAAACCCTAAAACCCTAAACCAGATCCCTAGAACCAAGAGACTTCCCATCCCGAGCGCCTCATGCGGGAAGGGGCAAACCCGAGGGAAGGCATGATGGAGCCTTGCAGCAGCGCAGCTGCTGCTGGGGGTTTAGGGTTTTGGGTGGGTTATACAAAGGTTTTATACTAGAATGATGGAGAATCAAATGGAAAAGAAGATTATAACATTATATTGGGAATATCTAATACTAGGGGGGTTGGGGGGGTTTTAGTCTTAGAGGAGTGGTTTATCTGTGCTGCTGTTCAGGAGGTTTAGCTAAGAAAGGATTTAGGGCTAGGGCTTCGCGCTAAAGAGGTTAGGTAGGCTGGGTTGCTTCGTTGTTTTTCACTTGGTATCCATGTTATGGTAACTGAATTCAAGTTCCGCAACAACAAATCCAGGCAGGGCTTTCGGCTTTAGATTTTGGGCTTGGGGTCGTGGGATTTGAGACTTAGGGCTGGTGGGGTTTAGGGTTGAGGGTCTGGGGTTTAGGGGGTAGGGGGTGTTCCATAAACAAGGGACTTCAATAGAGCCCCCAATCTACGATGGTTCCTGTCACGGGGCTCCCAAAAAGGATGCGTTAACTGTTCGATTCATAAAGGAAAGGAACTCAGAATCCAAAAAAGGCACTACTGGTCTTCCTAGGTCAAGAGGTGCAGCCAAGAAGCCACTGGGCAAACATGCGCCCGTGAAGAGGGACCTTGTGAAGAGGGTGCCTATTCGATCTTCTTTCATACCGATGCCATTGCTTTTTGCAGTGTCCCTTTTCCACAGATACACGGGCTCTTGCAACAAACTCTGTCGCTTATCTCCTGCGTGTTCCCTTTGCTTCCTGTTCTCGTGTTCCCTTTGCTTCCTGTTCTCCTCCTTCATCCTCCTGTGCTTCTTCTTGCACAGTCTTTCCTTTGCTGAAACGGCTAGCAATAGCTTTACTCCTGGTTCCACCATGACCTAGACTGCTTGCACTCCTCTATAGTGCTGCTGCTAATGCTCGTGCTTGTACTGCTGCCGCCACCGCTGCCATTGCCGCTGTCGGCTGCCGCCGCCGCCGCCGCAGCTGCTGATGGTAGCAGTAGAACTAGCAGTGGCAGCAGTAGCAGAAGCAACCCCCGGCATCGTCGTCGTTGTCGTGGTAGTCGTCCTAGTCGTGGTAGTCGTCGGAGTCACCGTAATCATCGCAGTCGTCGCAGTCGTTGGTCGTAGCTGTCGTAGTTTTCGTACTCATCGTAGTCGTCTCATAATCGTCTTATAGCCGCCGCCGCCGCCGCCGGCGTAGTAGTAGTAGTAGTAGTAGTAGTAGTCGTAGTAGTAGCAGCAGCAGCAGCAGTAGCGGTAGCGGTAGCGGTAGCAGTAGCAGCAGCAGCAGCAGCAGTAGTAGCAGCAGTAGCAGCATTAGCAGCAGTAGCAGCAGTAGCAGCAGTAGCAGTAGCAGCAGGAGCAGCAGCAGCAGCAGCAGCAATAGCAGCAGCAGCAGCAGCAGCAGTAGCAGCAGCAATAGCAGCAGTAGCAGGCGAACCACAACAACGACTACTGCCATTAAGGATCATACGAACTGTGGGATATAGTGTCAACTGCTAATCATGATTTTCTTGAAGCTCCTGTTGCATGCTACTAGCATAGAACTCTTCAATCATGTACACTTGATCACGGCCACCCATCAGAGTTGCACGCTTTCTTTCACACATTGGTGGACCGATTCAAGAAACCACCTCCGGAAAAAAACGTTGTACATGGGAAAGAGCCCCTTTCCGAACCCATCCCTCGAAACTAAGACCCCAAACTGAAGCCAGCTGTGTTGGACATGCAGCAGCCAAGGTAACTGTAAACCTTGATGTCTGAATCCTTTCTGACACAGCCTAGCTGTTAAGCTTCAAACCCCATAAACTGAATCCAAAACACGAGTGCTATCCATGTAAATGTTACTGTAGTTGGGATATAAGATGTTGCCGAGCTACAACTAGGATGTTTCCTCACGGAACCAAGGACCCCAAACCCGCCTGCCCCTCGTTGTCAGCGATGTCCCCAAGCCGGGCTTGAAGCTCCGTCCAAGATCCCTCATCCAAAGAAAACTCCGCACCAAGAGAAGACACCAACTGGGACCTTGAACGGGTGGGACCCGTCAAAGCGGGTACAGGGGTGAAAAGGGTACGTGGGGGTATACCGATATATAGGGATGTATAAGGTTGAAGCCTTAGGGCTTTAGATTCTGGACCTTGAATCTCGAGTCTAGGCTTTCAGGAATAAAGTGTAGGGTTTAGGGTCTTAGGGTGTGGTTAGGTGATACCCAGCAAGCCCGTTGCCCTCTGATCCAGCTACATACCGTCAATCCTGTGCAGAAGATCAGACGTTTCAGAGCATATGGCATACGCCTTGATTGGTAGATGTTGTGAGGAGTTTGTCCTCATAACTTTGGGAAATGGGAATGTGCCAGCTGATGTTCCCCAAAGCCAAACAGCCCAAGCACCTCAAAATGAAACCCTACCATGATATACTCTAATATACCATAATACACTAAAATACACCAAGCCCTAAACCCTAAACCCTAAATAGTAGTTTCCACTTTCTTTTCCATCATCCCAGTACACCCGTCCCAAAACCAGGCCCAGCACCTTCTCCCCTGAACTGGAGACACTCAAGCGTACACCGAGATCCTGAACCGAATCCAACCCCATCCAGACCCCCACGCCTGGACATACACACCAGCACACGTGCAAACATGCTGAACATGAAAAAAACTTCGGAAGAGAGAGAGAGAGAGAGAGAGATCTATGTATTTCTATATGTGTATATGTAGAAAAATAGAAAACAAAAAACATTACTGGGAAACTGCCGGGCACAGCTGCGCCGGCGAGGCTGTCGGAGCGCGAATCTGCGTCTCAATCTTGTCAAGGAGCACCTCGCACCTTCAGTGGGATCCACGCGGTTCAGGGTTTGAGGCTTGCAGACAACGTAGCCCTTGGGGACCCAGAAAATGTATCTGTATTTCAGGAAATGATGGAGGTCCTCTGAAGGACTATACCAGGATCTTGCCCTGGGAACCCTCCCGCCTGCAACACTACTGCCTAAGCCCAAAATCCCAAGCATCGAAAGGCAAGGGTTTGAGATCCCGTTGGAGAGGCATGGCAAGTTGAGAAGGGTTCGTCTTTGGGGCTTAGGGCTTCGCATGTTAGGGTTCAGGAAACGCATGCCGGGATTCTTGGTGTACCTCGGGCACTGCTGCCGGGATGAAGGTATTTCAGGTGCCGATGTAATCATCATCCGGTTTTTAGCATATGTACGACAGTTCTATAGGCAAGAACTTGATTGGTCATCGTCAAGATTGTGCGGCAGAGTAAAGGCCGATGCCATGCGTCCATTTCCTGCTGCGACAAGTTGGCGTGATTCGGTGGATATGGACGGGGGGGTTCCATAATTGGGGCACCGAAATATAGACCCCAGTATACTACAGTCCTATGCCAACTTTGTTTGCCTGCCACAGACTGAAGCCAAACGCAAAGATCACTCTTTTGGGGCAGCATATGGAAGTTTCTCAAAAGATTCCCTATATGATCCTAATCAGGACTCGAGCAGTCCCCTTGTAATTCGTATATCTCTGGAGTTCCTAAGGAAGCCCCCCTTTGTGAGAAACCATCGTATACTCCTGAAGTGATGTGTTAGTTCTTCAAAATACCTGTCCCCAAAATGGCCATAATGGAGGTTCCCTGTTCGGTTAGGACCCCCTTTTAGGAAGTGTATTCCCCGTAAATCCTAAACCCTAAATCCTGAACCCTGAACCCTAAGCCCTAAACCCTAAACCCAATGGTCCCTTCTTTACAGGGACCTTTAGAACAACCCCATGTCGTCTATGGGGTGCATGGCTTTAGGGTTTAGAGGTTTAGAGCCTAGTTCTTACGGATTAGTATGGGGAGCTCAGGTGACAAAGTGAGTATGCTTGTAACTCCTACCCGTTACTGAACCCCATCCGTGAAGTAGATAGAATGTGCAATTCCCAAAAACCATACTAAGATCCCCATATACCCCATATTCTAGCTACTTAAGGGGGACTACACCCCTCTGCCCCCAAAGCACAAACTTTGCTTTTGAAGCCCTGGGCACTCGTCAATGCAGCACACGGCGTAGTATTCTGAGGAGCCCAGACAGTTGGAGTCCAACATAAGGTAGTTCCTGGAAGGTTCGGGTTCGGGTGTAGTGTAGAATCTGTTTGAATGATGATAAGGTTTTGGCGTATGTTGTACTACATAGCTACATAAAGACGATGTGGCGATGTGGGTATAATCTTGGTAAACCTACATTCTGTAGGTCTAGAAATTCGCCCCTAAATCCTGAACCCTAAAACCTAAACCCTAAACCCTGAACCCTAAAACCTAAACCCTAAACCCTAAAACCCCTAAACCCTAAACCCTAAACCCTGACTTGGGTTGAGGTGGAAGGCCGCTGGACATCAATCCACAATTAGCTTGGACAGATCTTAAGGCCATGGGGCCAAATTATGGATTTGGGAGGTACCCTTTCAAGGGGGTTATAGGGGTTATATAGGGTTTAGGGTTTAGGGCTTCCCAAAATCAGGGGGTAAGGACTACAGTATATTGGGGTCCATATTGGGGCACCCTAATTTTGGGAAACTACCATACTACAAGAGTACCTAAGCCCAACTACAAGCTCGAAATATAATTGCTATCTTCACTGAACCTTTGAGCAGGGTTCCTTGGCCTCAGCGCTTGGGAGGGGTTGGGGTGGGTTCATTAAGAAAGGGTTTGGCGAATGGGGTGTTGCCAGGATGTTAGAGATGAGGGATTAAGAGGGCTGTGGCATGTTTGGAAGAGGGCACTTTGAGACTTGATGCTCAACTACACCACGTCACTAAGAAGCGCGCCCAAAATGCGCCCAGTACCAAGACCAGAGCGCATGTCTACAAGAAGTGAGAACCCAAGGTGACCATAGCCTGAGACTGTGAATCCCACTGCGATATACGTGCTCAGTGGAAGGTTGAGGGTTAAAACTTTAGGGAAGAAAATGGGAACGTGGCCCGAGAATCGAGGTGGTCCCTACCTATGGATAGGCCTGGGATAAGCCAAACCAGCTGGTACTAAGGCCAAAGCAATCGAAGAGCCTTTCCTCCAAGATCGCCTCCCCCTGCTTCATGAGAAAAAGCCAAAAAAACCCTAATGCCACACCAGGATAAGTTTACAGCGTTATATTCCTTATTCAGCTTGCGGGAACATATGCCTAAGATGATATGGTAGTTTCACTAAATGAGGGGGCCACAATATAGACCCCAATACGTTATAGTCCTTTTTATAAGGCCCCCAAAAGCAATACCCCTGATTTTGGGAAAACCCCAAACCCTAAACCCTAAACCCTACATATCCCTATATACCCCTATATAGCCCTCTATATCCCTATATAACCCCTATGTCCCCGAATTTTGGGAGACCGCATATCCAACATCGACCCAGGCTCGGGATAATGACCCGCGGCATACCCGGCACCGTCTCGTCTAAGGCGCCAGTGTCGCGGAGGTAGTTCTCACTCTCGGTGAAGGCGCCTGGCTCGCATATTGAGATAACGGAAAACAAGATGGAAACTACTATTCAGGGTTTAGGGTTGAACATGTTGGAGCATGAGGGTCCCATTATATACCCCAGAGTACAAGAATCCTGTTCACCGAAAAACCCACGGCAAAAAAAGGACCCTTGGCTGTTGGAGACCTGCTAAGTAGATAGAATATGGGGTAT